TTAACCGAACCGATCATTAACGGAAGTCGTTCGTTTTTACACAAATATTATTAATAGCATTTATTTCTACCGGATCACCAGCTTTCGTAGCTGTACCATGCGCCTCAATGTAAATCTATGCATTTATTTCTACCGGATCACCAGCTTTCGTAGCTGTACCATGCGCCTCAATGTAATCTATGCACAACGGTGAAATTCCACACTCGTGTAAAATTCCTTCAGTAAAATGCTCTGGACTTGCATCGAAGGGCACGTAATTCCTTCTTTCTTGTAACCATCATTGTTCATTTTAATATGTTTACATGTGGCATAAATTTCTTTAGCAATATTTGCTTTTTGAAGATATAGCACAGACACCGCTATATATTAAAAATATATGCATACTCATACATAAGCATTTTATATAAGATTTATATAATTACAACTAATATGTAACATGACATTGTAAGGAATGTAACCTACATACATGTTTTTTTTTTTTTCTTTTGTTGTGACGTTCCCCGGTTGGAGAACTTAGTGCCTTCAGCCTATCCTATCTTGGCTATTGGCACAGGGTCCCTTTCCATTTATTTCTTCACTGTGATCAGATTATTTTGCCAATGTTCTTGATGTATTTGTATATACAATCGAAAGCCTTCCAGTTTTTTATTCTTCAGAATGTTCTTAATATCTATTTCTTCCGTGATGCCTTTTTTTCTTAGATTTTGATCTAACCTAACTCTTGCCTCGTCGTATCTACTGCATCGCCATATTACATGTTCAATGCTTTCGTTCTCGTTACCGCATTTGCACCTAGCGCTATCTATGATCCCCTTCCTAGCGAGTGACTCTCCTACGTTATAGTGGTTGGCTCTTAATCTATTAATGAGTGTCACGTAGTATCTTTCCTTGTTTATCTTATAAAACCATGGTTTTTTCTTTTTTCTTATAAAAATTTTCAAAATAATATTTTCCTTTATATGGGCGTCTCTTAAAATGCTATCTTGTGTCATCTGCCATGTTTCCTTTTTAAATTCTTTCCGATAATCCCCTAGTGGGACTTCTATGTTATTATCCTCTGCTTCTTTGGTTGCATCTTTTGCTAATCCATCCGCAATTTCATTGCCCTTAATTCCTACATGTGCCGGGATCCAAACCAGTATTACGTTTTTATCCAATTCTCTTTTTAGTTTATGTATTATTTTTTTCGTTTCTATAATGTACCTGTTATGGTATACATTTATCTGGTTATTCTTTAATGCTTGTAATACTGATTTAGAATCCGACAAAATAATTATGTTGTCGCAGTGGTTTCTCTTTTTCTCTATAAATTAATTCTACCGCTTTAATCGCAAACGCTTCCGCTGTAAATGTTGAACATTCTTTTGGTAAACTTATATTATATCCTATTACTCGGTTTTCTATAACTATGCCTGCACCTGTGGAAACGCCTTCCTTTTTTTTGGAACCATCCGTATATACTATTTCAGTCTTATCGTTTAGATGATATTATCACATATTTTTTTAATTAAGACACTGTCCTCTCCCTTTCCTTCTCTCCTGTATTTACCTAACTCTAAATCTATTGTTATGCTATTTGTAATAATCTCATATTCAGTCTCAAATATTTGAATCTTTTTTTGTTGGTCCCTGTTTTTCTACTTATCCATTTAACTCGTTGCCGTGACTCTGATAGGATACTTCTTTTTAGCATCGGTTGTCTGAGTCTAGCATAATTTTCTTTCCTTGAATATTCTTCTATTTGTTCTATTAATTGTTGACCACCATATATTAAGTTTTTATAAATTTAACATATATAAGACAGGCAATAAGAGCCAAATCGCGGATGACAGTGCGTTATCCTAAACGAAACTAAATTTTTTCGTTAGAATTAAATACCTGTGCACAAGGCACCAAATTTTACTTGGACACGGCCAAGATATAAAATTACAAGAGATTTTTAATACAAGAGATTTTTAATTCCATGTATCCCCTATTCCCCCTAAAGAAATAAATGCGAGAGAAAAATATAGAAAATTAAGTTTTTACTTAAAAAATTTCTAGCTAGTAAGTGCGCCCTATCTCTTAATAGTCTAACTTTGGTTTCCGCAATTATCACGTTATTAAGTGTGCTATTCCTATATCTCATTGCTGTTTTTAAGCCTAAGTATTGCACTCTTTCTAATTTTAATCTTTGGTTTGTTTCCGTTGGGTAGTAGGTAAATATGCCGTATTCTGTGATTGATCTTACTAAACTTTTGTATAGCATTAACGCTGTGTTCACTTCCATTCCTTTAGATTTTTTGTTTAAATACGTCATTATTGAATTCGCTCTGCTCACTTTTCCTCTTATATCATTTATCTGTTGATGGAAACAAAGTCTATTATCCATCCAGATGCCCAGGAATTTCGCTCCGTAGGAGTTCTCAATTCTTACGTTCTTAATGTTAATACTAATGTTTTGTCTCGAAACCCGTTTTTGTTGAACTCAACTAGTACTGTTTTCTTTGGTTCTAAATCTAAGCCTAACTCAGATAATCTGTTTGCTAGTGTGTCTACTGCTTCTTCTAGTCTATCCATGTTTAAGTTTCTATTTATATTTGTTGTGTATAACGCTATGTCATCTGCAAATTGTACCGAGTTGATACCTACATTCAAATTTTTTGTTATGTCGTTTGTATATAGAGCGTATAAGATCGGGCTCAGAACCGCCCCTTGCGGTAATCCCCCTGTACTCTCCTATGAATCGATTCTTGGCTATTCACTATAAACTCTGTATCTCTAAAGTATAACCAATTCCCTATGAAATTTCTAATAACCACTGGGCACTTCAAAGCTTTTAATTTCTCCATCAGTATACTATAACTAACGTTATCGTAAGCTGAAGTTACATCTAAGAAGCCGACAGTGTATATTGACCTTGAAGTAGCCCTGTTTTTATATTCGTCGTAATTTTGGTCAAGTTTTCCGCACAAGACCTACCTCGTCTGAAGCCGTTTTGGTCTCCCGCCAGTTTACCTTCGTGTTCCGCCCACCAGACCAATCGTTCGTTGACTAATCTTTCCATGAGTTTTCCTATACATGATGATAATGCTATGGGTCGGACTTTTTCTTTTCCTGGTTTGTCGATAAATACCACTTGATATTTTCTCCATGCATCTGGGATTTTTCCTGTAAACCAAACTTCGTTATACATGTTTAACAGAATATTTTTCATTTCTTCCGTGAGATTCTTCAGCATGGTGTATTCTATTCCATCTCTTCCTGGTGCTGAATTTCGTCTTATCATGTTTAAAGCTCTTGTTAACTCTTCATATTTAAACTTTCTATTTAGCTGTGAGTCTTGTTTTTCTTCTTGAGCGTATCTTCCTTTCTTCTCTTCTAAGACATATGGTGGTGCTAATATATTGATATCCTTGTTGATTTCCTCTTCTCTATTCTTATTTATCCACTTGTTCCACTGTATGTTTTTCCTTATATTCTTATAAACTCGCATTTTGTTCCACACATATGTCAGGTTCGAGAATCTGTTAATCGATGCGCAGAATCTATCAAAACTTTCTCTTTTTTTCTATTGATCGTTTTGAGTGCAATTGCTCTATATTTTTTAAATTCGACGAATAATGTAGACTTTTTTCCTTGATGAATTTGGCCAGAGCTGTTTTTCTTTGTTCTATTGCCTCTTTACATTCTTGGTCCCACCATTCTTTAGGTTGTCCTCTGTTTTTTGTATTGTCATTGTGTTTATTGAATCCTTCGTTTTCTATGTCCATATTATCTGGGTTTTTGTCCGAGATCTTAAGTGTAGCTTTTTTGAGTATGGTTTCAAATATTTTAAATTTATCTGTTATTTTTATTTCGTTGCTTGACATTTTTCCTATGGCCTCTGGTTCTTCCTCTGCATATTCACGTAGTGTTCCTGTAAAGTATTTCCACTTGGTTCTTTTTGTGGAGGCCCTATTTGATCTTTTTTTATATCTGATAATTCTTGTTCTTATTCTACCCACTATCGGGAAATGATCTGAATTCCATGTGTCTTGTACTTGAGAAAATTCCATTATATTTATTAATTCTGTAGTGCAGAAGAAGAGATCTATGTTCGATGATGTTTGGCTTGGGTTTCCAAGCCTTGATAGCGTATCGTAATTTCCGCACATAAGCTCGTGTTCGTCCATCGCTTCAGAAAGGTGGTCTCCATTAATGTCTGTATCTAGGCAATTCCAGCTCGTATTGTGTGAATTAAAATCACCTGTAATCATGATCTCTAGGTTATTTGACTCAAAGTCTAAAATCCTTTCCCATTCTCTTTTATTAACATTTTGATTCGGCCTTCTGTACACTCCTAGTTGATTGAAGTTTTTTTTCCAGATTCTTTGTTCTTATACCAACAATGTCGACTTGGATTCCTATGTTGTTCCAATAGTTTAATGTTTCGAATTCTATTTTGTTTTTTATTGCAATAGCAACGCCTCCACTATTTCCTATACTTTCTTTTGTTACTATTTTATATCCTGGTAAATAAATCCCATTTGTTGTATTGATTTTCGTTTCTGTTAAAATTATAATATCATATATGTTAATCCTTTCTTTATTTCGTTTTTCTTGTTTTATATCCTCTACAATCCCACAACAGTTATCAGTGTTCGTGTGGTTCATTTTATAAATTTTTTTTTTTTTCCAAATGTGAGTTTTTTTGTTTATACAGATGTTTCTTTAATTTCCTCTTCTCTCCTTTCCATCTTGCCAGTGCTTCCTTTTTGTCTCTTGTACAATTAATCTTTGTCTTTTATTTTTCTCTTCATCGTGCAATACTCTTCTTCTTCTGGTTATGTTCTTCCATGTCTCTTCTTCTTCACTGCTGTATATGTTTAATTCTTCTGGATTGGTTTCCTTTGGACCTTCCAGGATTGTGTATAGTATTCTTCTTAATTCCCAATCTTCCTCTAGGTATAACTTGAGTTTGTTCATAAACTTATTCATTGTTTCTTTTGTGTAGTGTATATCTGTGAAGTTCGGTCTTTCAATTAATTCATTTGTCATCTCCTCTTCCGTTTCCCCTTCATACGTCTGTGGTTTCGCCTCTGCTGTTCCAGTGGATGGCGAGGAAGTGTAGAGTGCTATACCATATTTTTCCTTGGATATTTCACTTTCTCTTGCGTTAGATTGTTTCCAGTAGTTGTGTATATTGCTGTTCATGTCTCTTTTTTGTTGTAGATTCCTTTTTTCATACTTTTTATCTTTATATTCTTTGTTATCCGTATCCTTCTCCCTATTTCATGGTTTCTCTTTTATGATAAGCTTTACATTTTGATCTTCTTTGTTATAACTCTTCTTGTAGGCACCTCTTCCTATCATTTTCCTATTGTCTTGAGGTGTTGTTTTATCAACTCTCTGTGTTTGACTTTGTTCCGTGAGGAGACTCTTATTTCTTGTTGGAAGTTTAGGCTATCTTTCTGGTTCTTCAAATCTGTCGTAGTGTTTGACCGGCTCATCTTCTTTTCCCTTTAGCACTCTGATAGCAGATCCGTAAGAGATATTATGGTAGGCCATAATGACTTGAATACTTTTGTTTTTCTCATAAACTGTGCACTTTCTGTTTGTGGATCGGTGATTGCCGCCGCAGTTCCTGCATTTGGCCTCTTTATCGCATATTCCGTGGGCTTTATCACCACATATAATGCAGATTTCTTCACTTTTACATAACACTTTCAGGTGGCCATATCTAAAACATTTAAAGCACTGTTTTACAGGCATAATATATGGTCTCACCTTAATCGATAATTTTCTGTTCCATAACCAGATCTCTGTTTTGATCTTTCCTCCTTTGAACGTCACTGCGATGTTGTCTGTTTCTTCTCTCTGTGATTTTTTTGAAGCCTTGTCAAAATTTTCCTGTACATCTTCTCCACCTTTAGGATGTTTCTATTGTCATCGATGGCTTCCCATAGGTCTCTGATGGTATCGTCCCAGTCTACTATAACTCCTTTGCTAATGAGACTTCTTTGATCAATATTGGTTGTAATACTGTCCTCCTTATTTTTTTCTAATGTCTCTAAACATAAATTTGCATCTACATAATCTTTGAATGTAACTTCAGCTGAGTAATGATTAATCATTACGATATTTTCATGTACTATGCTATGTCTTATAATGGTCCGCGTGATCTTAAAAGATTTTTAACTCTGTTCGTTGTAGTTTTCTCTCTAACTAATTTAACGATAACTTTAACTGGCCCTACATGATCCTCATTCACACGTGAGCTTCTTGTTTTATTATTCTCTTTCGCGTCTTTTTCGCTTATTTTTTTCAATATACCGTTCTCATTCTATATCTCTCTTTTTCTTTCTTTTCGTTCTTATGTCTAGATTTACCTCTTTTTGGGTTCCTTTACCTGCTTCCATATCGGACGTCGTGTTTACATCTGTTGTCGTCTTACCATAATATACCCCTTTTTAGCTCCTTCCTTCTTCCTGTGAATCCTGTTCAG